AAAAACCCGGATATGTCCGGGGAAACCCGGACGGATGGTAACCCTAACTATGGCCCACTTAAAAGAAAAGTCCCAGACAGAGGGGGAAGGCCCCTACTCTCTTGACCTGGGGTCAGGAATCAGGCACCAGTACTCCACTCTCCCAACAAAGAGACAAGGGATTGTATGTCAGATGCACTAACCAGTAGGCCACCCACCAAGCTCCCATCCTCTCTATCAGTGTATCATTAATTACTGTCTGACGCCGCCCCTAGTTTCCCACAACTGTGAAAATGTAAATTGATTTTTAAAAAATGCTTAAAACCAATAATTTTGTGCAACTGTGAAAATTTACATCAGTAAAAATTTAAAAATGCTTAAAAATAAACATCAATATTATCTGTCAAAATTATAAGAAAATTAAAATCAATTCTGCCAAAACTAAATATAAGTTAAGACATAACAAGCTCAGTGACTCAATCTGTATGTATTTTCATTATACACCCTTATTTGAACTCTCTCAGTGACGTTTCTTTGGATAAGGATAGGTTACAATAAATATTCGTAACATTAAGAGGACTGTAATGCTCAGTGATAAGTCTGTTTAGAAGCTCAAGGCGTGGCGAGCACTGTTAAATCAATATAGAAAGAAATCTCTAAAGACGGACATAAAAAGTGCTAGCTTTATTGACAGAGATAATTGTAATATAATCATCTCTCTAAGGAATCTATTAGGTGAATTAACCTATAATCTGATGGCTTTTATTTATTTCCTGTAAGTCAATTGATCTATAGGCTTAATATCAAAACTACAATTGAAGTTGTCCCTCTATTTCCTGTAACTTTAAAGCTGGCTAAACAGAAATTTTTTTATTCTATTTTTGGCAGGGATGACTCTCTCAATGCCAGCATTTAGCCCGAAGCAAATTTGTACAGGTGAAAACATACGTGCAGTGAAAAAGCAGACACTGTAGTTCTATAATATGTATCTATAAAGTGTCACAGAAATCTATAGTAGAGTCGGAGAGGAAGCTGAAGAGGGTTCTGCTGGTTAGCTGAGCAAAGGAAGTAGTACTGAATATTTTTAAGTTATAAATTCACTGCAGAGGCTGGCCTTCAAATCATATGACTGGTTTAATTGGCGCCTGTTCTGTATGATAATGACAAAACACTTGGCAGATCCAACAGTTATCTCAACCAGTCAGCTGCTCCAAGATTTGTAGAGCCACATGAACTTAGCTTAAGCATCAGTGTATTTAATAATTATTTTGGTGCTTGCTTGGATACTTCTGTCTGCCAACATCTATTTATAACCTGTAATAAAAGCTGCAGCAAGGCTTCAACTTTCAGTGAGTAACAGAGAGTTAAAAAGAGTGTGGCCATTTTAAATGTTGATAAAATCAGGTCTGAATTGGAAAATTTCTACATATGAGCTTATCCAAAAGCCATGTTCCTCCTTTGAGCACTCTTCTCCCACAATCTCTGTCTGTCATCTCCGTTCAGGCACCAGGGAAGAATATAGTATTGTCTCTAAACTGTTCACACTTAATTTTTTCCAATTGTTTTAAAACATAAATGTATACATTTTCACGTAATCTTATTATTTTAAGTACCCATTCTTGTAAAATGAGTGGCATCCTGTGATTTTACTAATATACTAAAAAAAGATTTCACACCTGTTGTTGTGCAAGTGTAATCCCTGCACATTTTATAATAAGGAAGAACAATCAACATTATGTGAGATCCCAGAAAGAGAGGAAGGAAACAAAGGGGCTCTTTGTTACTGTTTACATTAAGAGCTGCTAAAACTTTGTCACAATTGTTTTGTTGATCGATAACTTTCATCCCTTTGAACATTTGCATCTGTTGCCCAAGGAGAGGGTAGACTTGTGACCCCATTAATATTCAATAGACATAATAATGTAAACATAACTTTTTGGGGAAATTGAACGTTTGTTAGACAATTTATCGTTACAGGACAACTTTAAAAAAAATTAAAACCACCCGATTTTAGAGGTTTAGGGTTTTTTCTGTGCCTTGTTTAGCTGTGTCTGTTAAGTAGTGTTTTAAGGCTAGTTTTACTCTCCTAGTTAATTGCCCACTTCTCTGGCCCGGGGTTGAAGACACCAAGCAGACTTCTCCTAGCTTGACAAGGCCTCCTGAGAGGCAGCAGCAAAAGTGTACAACGGCACTCCTCGTACTCATACAGTGTTGCCAACTCTCACAATATTTGATATTTTACTTAAAGCCCTGTCTCCTGTAGGCAAATAATTATGTGAGAATCTGCCTTTATTTTTAAAAAAATAAGTTTCTAGCCCTTGTGGTTGTGGAGAAAAGCTTTAAAACAGGACCCAAGTGCACCCTGATGCCCCCAAAGGCAAATAAAAAGAATACAGATATATTTATTCTTTTTTAAATTCATGATTTGAAGCCAATTTCATAATTTTTGGAAACTGACATTTTATGACTTTTAAAAAATTGGAGCTGGCAATACTGCATACAGCAGTGGAATCTTGCCTGACTACTGAGGGATGTGGGTTGAATCTTCAGCCTTCTGGATTTAAGAAGTAACATGGGGAGGCAACAGCAATCTCTCCTACTCTTCCTGTAGTAGGAGAGGTACCATTTCTTCACTTGTCCCTATTATTACTCCCTCCCCAACCACTTAGACTCTGGTGAATTCCAAAAGAAGGGGACATTACAGGGCCCAAGAAAAACCCACATGAACTAATCAAGAAGTACAACATGGTTAAAATGATACACCCTTAATCCAGTTTGCATCTTTTCCTCACTGGAGTAGGTGTGGAGACACTGAGTAGTGCATATAGAAAGGAAAGGGCACCTTCAGGGATTCCTGTTGGGAGCTCAGACAGATTTTTGCCCCAGTTCCCTAAATGGCCCCCTCAAGGATTGAACTCACAACCCTGGGTTTAGCAGGCCAATGCTCAAACCACTGAGCTATCCCTCCCCCCTCTGTTATTGCAGAGCCCTCTGAACTCCTGGGATCCCCAAGCACCTCTGGGACAGGGTTTAGACTCATGGTTTCAAGGGAAGTTTGCACCTTCAGAAAACGCCACTGAGTACAAGTCTTCATCTTGTAATCTTGTATCACAAAGGGAAATCGAGTGGTGGGAACTAGGACAAAGACCGTTCCTTTAAATTTAGCATTTTAAAGTTTTATTACAAAGGATCAATCATGTAATTTCAGAATGTGTGGGGGACAAATTCTTGCTGTACCTCCTATCTACTTTTTCTCCTCTGTTTGGTAAGATGATAGGCAGATATTGCTGCTTCTTTAGGGGTAAAGTATTCAAACCGTTCTCTCTTAACATAAACCTTGATTGGTCATACAGTTAAAAACTATTCTTCTGTCCCCCTCTTGCAGTTCTGCTTATCAAAATCTGATAAAGAACAATATGAAAGAGAAGAGAGACCAGAATCCCAGCAGGACATTTTGAGAAGAGCTGCTAAAGACTTACCTATCTATACCACAACAGCATCAAGGGGTGAGGCATGCAGACAAGTCCAGTAGTCCAAAAGCTCCTAGTCCAATTCATGAGATTTATTTTGATGTTGCTGTGTGAACCGTCTGCTAAATAATTTCTGCAAAAGGCCATGACTTCATATTTCCCCATGAGATGCCAGAGTTCTTTTTTGTCTGTGGATCTCTACAAGCAGCCAATAAATAGAACAGTTTTCTCAAAAAAGATCCTGTTTTGCAAAATAAATTCAGCGTGAAAATATTTATCTTGCGCTCTGCTTATAATAATCTTACATAGACTAAAGGAACAGAGTTGGAAGGCTGAGATTTTTATATTCATTTCTATTTAATCCCAATTATTGCTTTGGTCCTCTAAGTATGAACATTTAAGGCTTGAATTTACTTTCACTACAGTGTCAGAATTGAGGCTATGGAAGCTAAAATGCCAGTAAATTCTTCTTCCAATATCAGCTATAACTCTCAGGACAGAGCTGTTTAATCATTATGTTTATGATCATTCAGCTATTTCTGTCTTTACCTTCACTATTTTTAAGTAATACTATTGTAATTTCTCTGAAAATATCACGAGAGACTGTTAAATGACTTTCTCTGATGCCTAAATACAATATAGCTAGATTTCTATAACTGCATTACTACTCTAAAACTAGTGGTGTTATTGATTACTCCCAAGACCTATGGTTCTTTTTAATAGAAGTTACAAATATTATACCATTTAATATACAGTGTGGTTGTAGCCATGTCAGTCCCAGGATATTAGAGAGACGAAGGTAGGTGAGGTAATATCTTTTATTGGATCAACTTCTGTTGTGTCTTTTACCAATATAAGTTGGTCCAATAAAAAATATACCTCACTCACCTTGTCTCTCTTATCACTTAATAGTAAGTCATGAGATTTGTTAATGGTTATCTTGAGTAAATTCATTTTGCATTTAAGTGATTCCCAAACTATGGTTTCTGGGCCATTGGTGGTCTGTGGGGCACTTGCTGGTTGTCAGCACAGAGCTGCCTGGTGGTGGTGGCTTTTCTCCTTCTTTATAGCTGCCTCTACAGGTGTGCCATCTTTTTATCAAGAAAAGTCTGGAGGCCTGTTAAAAGCAACTGCTGAGAAGGAGTAGTAGCCAGTCTAACTGCATCTGCTAGATATCACATCAGCAGAATAGGACAGAAATATGAGCCCCCCTCAAGGACTAGGAGAGGACTAAGGCTTGGGGAGTATGTCAAGAGGCACATGGGGAGAAGAGGACCTGGTGTCTGGGTAGCATATCCAGAGGAGAAGGAAACCAAGTGGCAGGGAAGCATGTGTTGAAGGATCAGGGGAGGGGAGACTGAGGAACAGATTAAATGAAGAGGAAGAGTTGAAAAAGCATTTCTTACAGTAGAAACAGATACTGCTACATTAAATACTTTCATGTTACATTTTTCTGTAAGCAATTGTTGTAGTTGCCACAGCAATCTTATGCGATTCAGAATGGAAGTGGGAGGGGAGATGTCCTTGAAACAGTCTCTTGAACATAGGAAACTTCTGTGTGTATGCAATTTAATTTTACAAAGACCTGTTTAACAGATTGACTTTTAAAATTTGAACATAGCAATCAGATATTGTGATAGATGCCAACTAATCAAGCCTGACCGCTGTCACCACTGTTCTGCATGTGACCTGTAAGTAGCTGTGATGATCTATTGTTTAAATTCTCATCTTGAATACTTGTGCCTTATTTTTATTGCTTGCCAGTGGAACTGCATAATGGTAGATCTACTATCTCTGTCCCTCTCCCAGCCCACAGAGCCTGGGCTTCATGTAAGACGTGCAGATCTCTGCCTTTCCCTCTGCTGGAACTGCATCTGTTCTTCTGCATATGGGGCCCTCTGCACCATGGAGAATGGGGCAGGATTTGTCCTACATGTGCTTCTAGCTTTGTAAAATGTGTTCAGTCTGAAGGATCAGTACTGGAGAGTGAAGTGGGTCTGGACTGTGATACATATGCCAACAGAAACTTCTGTGCATGGAACCTACCTTGCTTCCCTAGCTGTCAGGCACAAGCATGCTGTGGTAGTAACAACTTTGTTTCGGGAGAGCTACAGTAGCATTACAGGTCTTCATAACTTCAGAGGTATTAGTGTTATCCACCAAGCACATTCTGCTCCACCTGCAAAATCTGTTCTTACAAGCCACTTAAGACTGGGAAATAAATTAATAGATTTCAGTGACTGAGCTTGGGTAGATCTATTTAATTAAGAAATGTGATGAATGCATGTGTCTGTCTGGAGTTACTACCCTTTGGCCATGCTATACTAAAGTTGGGAGAAAATGGAATATAGACCATTGGAACTATCGATTATATATTTTTCCATTTTCCTCCTCTCTATCCCAAAGTTATTTTTCTATCAAGCATTTTGATCAGATTGATTAAGTTGAGTGCCAGGTTACCATATTTCCCATACTATCCACAGTAGCTGTAAGGCATGCTGGTTATTAAAATCAATTCTGAATGTTGAATTTTTTCCTCCTCAAATGATAATGCTGAATCATAGAATATCAGGGATGGAAGGGACCTCAGGAGGTCATCTAGTCCAACCCACTGCTCAAAGCAGGACCAGTTCCCAGCTAAATCATACCAGCCAGGGCTGTGTCAAGCCTGACCTTAAATACCTCTCTAAGGAAGGAGATTCCACCACCTCCCTACGTAACCCATTCCAGTGCTTCACCACCCTCCTAGTGAAATAGTTTTTCCTAATATTCAACCTAAATCTCCCCTGCTGCAACTTGAGACCATTACTCCTTGTTCTGTCATCTGGTACCACTGAGAACAGTCTAGATCCATCCTCTTTGGAACCCCGTTTCAGGTAGTTAAAAGCAGCTATCAAATCCCACCTCATTCTTCTCTTCGGCAGACTAAACAATCCCAGTTCCCTCAGCCTCTCCTCATAAGTCATGTGTTCCAGCCCCCTATTCATTTTTGTTGCCCTCCGCTGGACTCTTTCCAATTTTTCCACATCCTCCTTGTAGCGTAGGGCCCCAAACTGGACACAGTACTCCAGATGAGGCCTCACCAATGTCGAATAGAGGGGAACGATCACGTCCCTCAATCTGCTGGCAATGCCCCTACTTATACAGCCCAAAATGCCATTAGCCTTCTTGGCAACAAGGGCACACTGTTGACTCATATCCAGCTTCTCGTCCACTGTGACCCCTGGGTCCTTTTCTGCAGAACTGCTGCCTAGCCATTTGATCCCTAGTCTGTAGCAGTGCATAGGATTCTTCCGTCCTAAGTGCAGGACTCTGCACTTGTCCTTGTTGAACCTCATCAGGTTTCTTTTGGCCCAATCCTCTAATTTGTCTAGGTCCCTCTGTATCCTATCCCTACCCTCCGGCGTATCTACCACTCCTCCCAGTTAATGTAGTCTGCAAACTTGCTGAGAATGCAGTCAACACCATCCTCCAGATCATTAATGAAGATATTGAACAAAACTGACCCTTGGGGCACTCCGCTTGATACCGGCTGCCAACTAGACATGGAGCCATTGAGCACTACTCACTGAGCCCGATGATCTAGCCAGCTCTCTATCCATCTTGTAGTCCATATGTCTTTAACTTGCCGGCAAGAATACTGTGAGAGACCATATCAAAAGCTTTGCTAAAGTCAGGGAATAACACATCCACTGCCTTCCCCTCATCCACAGACCCAGTTATCTCCTCATTAAAGGCAATTAGGTTAGTCAGGCATGACTTGCCCTTGGTGAATCCATGCTGACTGTTCCTGATCACTTTCCTCTCCTCTAAGTGCTTCAGAATTGATTCCTTGAGGACCTGCTCCATGATTTTTCCAGGGATTGAGGTGAGGCTGACTGGCCTGGAGTTCCTCAGATCCTCCTCCTTCCCTTTTTTAAAGGTGGGCACTTCATTAGCCTTTTTCCAGTGATCCGAGACCTCCCCCGATCGCCATGAGTTTTCAAAGATATTGGCCAATGGCTCTGCAATCACATCACATGCAGCGCATCCGGCCCCATGGACTTGTGCTCATCCAGCTTTTCTAAATAGTCCTGAACCACAGAGGGCTGGTCACCTGCTGCCCAGTGCAGCAGTCTGGGAGCTGACCTTGTTCGTGAAGACAGAGACAAAAAAAGCATTGAGTACATGAGCTTTTTCCACATCCTCTGTCATTAGGTTGCCTCCTTCATTCAGTAAGGGGCCCACACTTTCCTTGAATTTCTTCTTGTTGCTAACATACCTGAAGAAACCCTTCTTATTACTCTTAACATCTCTTGCTAGCTGCAACTCCAAATGTGATTTGGCCTTCCTGATTTCACTCCTGCATGCCTGAGCAATATTTTTATACTCCTCCCTGGTCATTTGTCTAATCTTCCACTTCTTGTAAACTTCTTTTTTGTGTTTAAGATCAGCAAGGATTTCACTGTTAAGCCAAGCTGGTCGCCTGCCATATTTACTATTTCTATACATCGGGATGGTTTGTTCCTGCAACCTCAACAAGGATTCTTTAAAATACAGCCAGCTCTCCTGGACTTCTTTGCCCCTAATGTTATTCTCCCAGAGGATCCTGCCCATCAGTTCCCTGAGGGAGTCGGTCTGCTTTTCTGAAGTCCAGGGTCCGTATTTTGCTGCTCTCCTTTCTTCCTTGTGTCAGGATCCTGAACTCGACCATCTCATAGTCACTACCTCCCTGGTTCCCATCCACTTTTGCTTCCCCTACTAATTCTTTCTGGTTGTGAACAGCAGGTCAAGAAGAGCTCTGCCCCTAATTGGTTGCTTCAGCACTTGCACCAGGAAATTGTCCCCTACACTTTCCAAAAACTTCCTGGATTGTCTGTGCACTGCTGTATTGGTCTCCCAGCAGATATCAGAGTGATTAAAGTCTCCCATGAGAACCAGGGCCTGCGATCTAGTAACTTCTGTTAGTTGCCTGAAGAAAGCCTCGTCCACCTCATCCCCCTGGTCTGGTGGTCTATAGCAGACTCCCACCACAACATCACCCTTGTTGCCACACTTCTAAACTTAATCCAGAGACTCTCAAGTTTTTCTGCAGTTTCATACCGGAGCTCCGAGCAGTCATGCTGCTCTTTTACGTACAATGCAACTCCCCCACCTTTTCTGCCCTGCCTGTCCTTCCTGAACAGTTTATATCCCTCCATGACAGTACTCCAGTCATGTGATTTATTCCACCAAGTCTCTGTTATTCCAGTCACATCAAAGTTCCTTGACTGTGCCAGGACTTCCAGTTCTCCCTGCTTGTTTCCCAGGCTTCTTGAATTTGTGTATAAGCACTTAAGATAACTCGCTGATTGTCCCGCTTTCTCAGTCTGAGACAGGAGTCCTCCCCTCTTACGCTGTCCTGCTCGTGCTTCCTCCCCGTATCCCATTTCCCACTTACCTCAAGACTTTGGTCTCCTTCCCCCGGCGAACCTAGTTTAAAGCCCTCCTCACTAGGTTAGCCAGCCTCCTCACTAGGTTAGCTTGCGAAGATGCTCTTCCCTCTCTTCATTAGATGGAGTTGGTGTACAGTGAAAACAGCACCTTATGGTCTATGGAGACAGAGAGTGCCTTATGCAGTTCAATAATATCCCCTCTTTCTGATTAATGGGCTTTTTTGAGTACTATCTTCTACTTCTCCTGGGCAGAAGGTCTGACAGCTATAATATGGGCCCTTTGCCTGAAGGGGTGGGGTTGAAAAGTAGAAGTAATGGGTATTTAAAAAGTTGTTTCACAGCTTTAGGAAGTTTGAGACCAAATATTTGAATTAGAAAGTAAATGTATTTTGTACTTTTAATTTTTATTTTAATTAATTGGAAATGGACTTTTTCTTTTTCAGATGTGTACTAAAAATGGACCATCATTGTCCTTGGTATGTTTTTTTTTAAAATGAATATAAATAATATTGAAACAATTGATCAAATTCTTCACTCTCGTACACCAAAGTAAACATGTAATTACTCCATTGATTTTTAATGGAATTTCTCCAAATTCAGACATGTATAAATGAGAGCAGCATATTTCCTAATGCTTATTGCAATGTATATTGCAAGCCAGAATTGTAGGGCTAAGAAACCTAAATATGCACTTATATATAGATTCACAGCAGAACTGATCATGTTAAAAGAAATGAGAGAGGCTGAAATGCTGCTTTGTTGTGTTTTAATTCAATACTGTATGTGCCAAGAGATAAGAATCTATTTTACTAAATTGTGAAAATCAACTTCTTAAATGAATGTCAAGTATCAGAGGGGTAGCCGTGTTAGTCTGGATCTGTAAAAGCAGCAAAGAGTCCTGTGGCACCTTATAGACTAACAGACATATAGGAGCATGAGCTTTTGTGGGTGAATACCCACTTTTTAAATGAATTCACTCCCAGATATCAAGTTGATCAGCTCACTAACAGGTACAGTAACTCCTCACTTAACATTGTCCCGGTTAATGTTATTTCGTTGTTACGTCGCTAATCTATTAGAGAACATGCTCGTTTAAAGTTGTGCAATGCTCCCTTATAACGTTGTTTGGCAGCTACCTGCTTTGTCCGCTGCTTGCAGGAAAAGTAGCCTGTTGCAGCTAGCTGGTTGGGGCTTGGAACCAGAGTGGGCCGGCAGCTCCCCTAAGTACCCTGTGCTGCAGCCGCCCAGCAGATTATCAACTACAGTAACTCCTCACTTAATGTTGTAGTTATGTTCCTGAAAAATGCAACTTTAAGCGAAACGATGTTAAACGAATCCAATTTCCCCATAAGAATTAATGTAAATGAGGGGGTTAGGTTCCAGGGAAATTTTTTTCACCAGACAAAAGACACACACACACACACACACACACACACACACACACACACACACTAATT